ACACTTTTCACGTTTTCTGTGCCAACTGCGTCCTTTATGCGCCCTTTGACCACGTCTCGGCTTCTCTCATCACTAGCATTGATTTCCAAAACCTCGTAGCCAGCTTGTTTCGCACAGACATGAGCCAATGTTGTTTTTCCTAGGCCGGGAGGGCCAGTTAACAAGAGGATTTTACGGTGGGTATTAGGCTCTTCTAAATCGGCCGTCTTATTTTGCGCCTTTGATTTGGCCAAACTAGGAAAAACGATAGGATCCCAGCCTTTCAACCACCGCAAAACCGCGCGATGGGTTCGGTCGTCACCGATGAGATCTTTGAATCTCCGTGCTCGATACTTCTCCGTCCATAGAGTATTTCTCCCTGCTTGAGCTTGATATCCCGATGGTGACTCCACAGACTGATGTAGCTTGGGGACATTGTGCGATCTTTTGTCCTTGCTCCGCGTGTCCCGGGCTTCTTCCATTAAACGGTGAATTTCGATCCCATAGTAGCTTTTCGTTGCTCTTCCAGGAGCTGTCATCGATCGACTAGCGATCAATTGTTCGTACGAGACTGGTAAGCTTGGCTTTCTTCGTGGTACGCGAATAGACTCTCCAGAGCATTTTCGGATAATAAGATGTTCTTTGCTATTGCTTGTAACTTCAACGGGGGTCGCTGTGTTGCGTGGCGTATTCAAAACTGCATCATCGTCTCTGGTTTTCAAAGATGGTGCACGAATGTACGGCGTTCCCTGGGTCTCATAAATCTGTGTCTCTGTAGTGCCCAACCAGCTTGTATGCTCCGTGACGCTGATTCGCGACCTAGAACCAGGTATACCTCCTTGCTGTGAGTCCTCGTCATCGGATTCATCCACGATAAAGGGGCCTAGGTATTTGGCGCGTTTGGCGGCATTCGCGTCTGCGCTCTCATTCAATTTCCTTTTGCCATGGTCAATCAGATTTTCCAGCGGCGACTCGTGCGGAAGAGGACTTGGAGCGCAAAACAAGGCCATTTGGAACTGCTGCCGCTATTAAGCCGGTCGTGAACTGAGGGTTATTCGTCCGACATGCGAGATTGTATTTAAAACGGGTTGCGTCTTAATTGGTTGTTCGAGCTGTGGGAGGAGCGGAATGGTGATAAAGCTGATGCGGCAGGATATTCCCAAAAGCCATAGGGTTGTTACTGTTCTTAGAAGATCTCCCGCGTCGGCCGTGAAACATCAATTGAATGGCAGACTGTCAATCAAATCAGTTGGAGTTGTTTGATATCAAACGCGCGCGTCGCGTCGCGGCGAGGTGAGAGCTGATTGGACAAAATCTTATTGCCGCATTAAGGCAAAGATCTAATGACATAATCTGACTCATTTAAAGCAGCACAGCGCTAAATCAGACATGGTTAGCGCGCTCGAGCTTGAGGCGCGAATTTGAAGTTGAGCTGCTGCTTGTC